GTGAGCCTTCCAAGTCATAAAATTGTCGAACACCACGCCTAGGTATTTAAAAGTAGTTTCGCAAGAAATGAGCTTTCCGATAAGATTAAGATTTAAAATACAATCGCGCTCTTTATGCCTTCGAGATGTAAATAGTACACACTTAGTTTTTGAAACATTGAGAACAAGATTGTTGTCTTCTAGCCATTCAGATAGACATTGAAGATCTTGATTAAAGTAAAAAGTTAAATTGTCTACTGTTGGGCCAGCAAGATATAAAACTGTGTCGTCAGCGTACATATTTACAGAACAGTGTTTGACACAACGTGGTAAATCATTAATGTAGACAATGAATAACAGGGGTCCGAGGATGGACCCTTGTGGCACTCCAGAAGTTATAGCAAGCTCTTCAGATGAATGAGAATCAATTTGCACGAACTGCTTTCTTCCCGTAAAGTAGTCCTTAAACCATAGAAGGCTTTCCTCGCATATACCATAGTACTCTAATTTTCTGAGCAAAATGTCATGGTCAACTGTGTCGAAAGCCTTTGCCAGGTCAATAAACACAGAACCAGTAACAAGGCCCTTATCCATATTCAGGAGAATCTCGTCGGCGAAATAAGTTACAGCCGTCTCAGTTGAGTGCATTCTTCTAAAACCGGACTGTAATTTACAGAGCAAGTTATGATCATCAAAAAAACTTGCAAGCTGCTTGTGGATTAAACGCTCTAGGACTTTAGATACCACTGGTAATACCGATATGGGGCGGTAGTTTCTTGGGTCATCTTTTGAACCTGATTTATGTAAAGGGGTCACCTTCGCTTTTTTCCATTCTGCAGGGATAACGTTTTGTTGGATAGTTAAATTAAAAATGAGCGATAGTGGATAGGCCAGGGCGTCTGATCCGTCTTTTAGTAGACGGATCAAACTTGCACGTCCAAGTTTTCCCGTCACTTAAGCGTTATCTGCATATTTCGTCATTTTTGCTTGGAACTTCTAACGCTGTTTTCATTGGAAGATGATTGCTTTGATTATTTTGTCGAATATAAGTAGTTATTAGCAGGCTGACTTGCAACACGAGCCGTGTATTTCAATATGTAACATGTCAAAAACAACCGCATTAAAGTCCAATGCAAAGAATTGATTCCAAAAAGTCTGAATTGAGTCTCTTGGAACTACAGAAAACGCATCAGTTGAGTACAGGTTTTGCTCGTCCTGGTTTCAACTAGGAATTTTGTCCAAATAAAGTAAAATTTTGCAAGCAGAATAGGCCTCCCACCTCCATCGTGATAACGGGTTTCACGTTGAAAAATAACTTTGAGTTTACGATTATTTATAGTATATAGTCTATTTTCAATTATAAGTAAACACGCAGACATTTAGTTAAGAGGCTCAATTTTGTCGGCAATCAATCAGTTGATGTATACTTACAGTTTAGTTAAGCTGGCCAGGTTGTCAAATAATCCCTCTGGTAAAGTCTGGAGTTCGTTGGCCCCGACGTTTCTGAATTTTCGTCAAGCAAACATTTAGATTTTAGTTAAATTTTAGCTGTGATGAACTCTAAATGTTGCCTATATCCATTCTTTACCCGAGTGCAGAGGTACAGCGTATCTTTTTAAGCTCCCTATTACCATCTCAATACTTATTTGGAGGACTTTTCTACTGTTTATCGTCAGGCTTAAATACAAAACTGATATCGGTCAATTTCCTCATAAGATATAGAGACTCTTTCTGTTCTAAAAGACATGATTTTGCTCATCTGAATTCCATCATGGCCAGAATGAATTTCTAATTAAACATGGAGGCCACAAAAACGTTTTA